CGAAGTTGTGACTTACAAAAATTAATTAAATTTCGCAGTTGTTTAAACAAACGTTGGTCTGTCTACGTAAAGTAGATCACATTCCATTGATACATTTGTTGGACTAGTCTACCGTTGTCGAGGTTATGGGTGTTGCGCTCTGTTGTTGTCTTTCATTTACCTTTTTATTCTGAGACGGGGACTGCCTGTGACATAGGTTGCAGCACACTCTAGGGGGTTGTGTGTTAGACCCAGTTTCTAAATGGTTTAGAAGTATTAGAAGCGCTGGCATGGTGAAATGTAGATCACGCGAAATCAGCGGCATTTGGGAACACCCCCGTGACCTTGTGTGAAGGACGGGTGTCTCAAAGCCGACCAATCAGTAGTGAGCTATTTTGTACAGGTGTATAGAAAAAAAAAAGGGGGGGGGGGGTGGGGATACCAACACATGATTAACTGGCACAGTGATACAATGGGTGTGTTTTCGCATAATTATGCATACTATGGTAAAGGATCCCTTTTTTGGAGAACATATTATTCCATCTACATAAGGGAATCTCATACGGCTTGTTTAATATAAGAATGCTGCTATTAGTTTAAGATACACAGGCTAGCTCGTTAGGGGATGCCCATTCACCAGCACAAGGACTGCTTGCGTTTTCCTAATATGTTGCACGCAAAGGAACTAGCTTTAATGATTGGCATTCATCGGGAAACTGCACGCTATGTGTAAGTGTAAAACAGGTCATTAATTTTACGCTTGATTACGTTTCAGGCGAGAGGAAACATGGTTTAACGAAATAGATAAATAAACGGAAAAGGGTAAGGGAAGGTGGACGGTAGGGCGTGAAGATAAAACTGGGGAAGATAGACCGAGCGATTTAGAAAGAGAGAGAGAGAGAGAGAGAGAGAGAGAGAGAGAGAGAGAGAGAGAGAGAGAGAGAGAGAGAGACTGTAAAAAACACAGAGTAAGAAAAAACATACAAGAAGTGAATGGAGAGATAACAGAGAGACCAATTGTAAACCAAAAAGAAAAAGAAAGAAAAAAGAAAGGGAAGTGAGACAGATGAGAAGTTAACATGCGGGAAACTTTGAAGAGAGAGCAGAGATAACAGAGGATAACACAGAATTTTAACAAGTTGAGATAACTAAGCAAACTGAACATACTGAACAGAGTAATAAATCAATTCAGTAATTAATATTACCTAAATTAATCCTATGAACATATTATAATAAACATAAGTAGGCATATAGCCCCCACACAGCCCCTGAAAAAAATCCGTACTGCGACTTTTAAGGGCGAAAAATGGAAATTAAAAAAAAAAGAAATATAAGACCCGGTTTTATGTTGGGGGAAAAACCATCTCGGTGGCCTGATTTCCCCTGTTCGATGGCCAGTTAAAATAAAACGATTTTGTCCGGAATTACCTCGAACATGTACATTAGCGCCGCGTCCCTGGCTAAGGCGTGAATTTTTATCGTGGTATGGGACGTCGCAGGTCAACCCAGCCTCACATAGGTACCAGGATGGCTGTCCTGGGGAAGTAAAGACGGCCGGGGTAATGTTGACCACATTACCCACCGAGTGCCGATTGGTCTGTAAAAAAATATGGGACGCTCTGCCCATATGCCCGATGCGCCGAAAGGCGTGAAAAGGGATCTTTACTTACTTTTTATGTACATTAGCGGTTACCAAACTTTCATTGAGCAGCGGTCTTATTTTACAGAGGGATATTGACTTCCGATCGCATATATTAAAATATACTTTTTAATAAAGAATTTATAGGGTAAAGCTAAATACACTGAAAATATGATCTCACCCTCCCACCCCCCGTTTTTTTTACTTATAACATTTTCTTAGCTCACCACTGCTCGGCATTTCAACAGAAAAACGCTTCACCACCCCATTTGGTATCGAGACGCATAAGTTGGTAACTCGCGATGAACATGATGTGACGTGTAATGTAAAAAGTAAAGTGAAAGCGTATAGGGCTTATAGGGCTAGACATATATTTTATAGACCAATCAGCACAAGATGGGAGATGTGGTCAGCATCACGCCGGCCGCCTTCACTTCCTGGGACTGATGTGACGTGCAAACTGTCCCTTACCTCAAACAAAGCTAAATGTAGATGTAGGACAGTGGCTAGAAGCTTGTATTTCGGCCCAAAAATCTTGAGATCAATTCGGTCTTTAGTTTAGTGTTTAAAAACATGGCCTCGCTCCTAAGTCGACCCAGAAAAATAATGGCCTCGCTCCCAGGATTTGTCTAGAAAGTAAAAGCAGCCGGCACGATTATTGCATCATCTATCGAATTGTAGCAAAGTCTGTACCCCTACCCCCTTTTTAGTGTTGTGCTGTTTGCACGACAAGACCCCTTGTGGCCTTCACCCTTATTGTTAGAACTTGTGCTTAACAAGCACTTATATCCCCCCTAGGTCCCTACTCTTGTTTCCCACGTACATTGAGTCGTCTGACTAGACATGTGACTCTCCCCGTCAAGCACCAAAGCAATTAATTAGAATTCCAATGTCCCGGCGAGCAAAGGTCGCTGCAGAATCTGCAAAACAACGAGGGTTAGGAGCCCCCCGGGAGCAGACTAGTAACCCCTTTATAAACGATTGCCCGGAACGTTTGACAGATACGAGACGGACACAGACACAGACAAGGAGTAGACGGGCCAGAGGATAGACGGAGGCAGGCCAGAGGATAAACAGACAGGCCAGAGGATAGACAGAGGACAGCAGAGGACAGGCCAGAGGACAGGCTAGAGATAGGGACAGAGATAGATAGTAGAGAAAAGTAACGGTCAGTTAAAACAGGGAAGGAAGGTTGATTAAATAGGCAGATATAGAAAAGAAAATTGCGAATGTTCGCCATTAGAGTTACTGTTAGGAGCCGTGGCCCATTTCAAGATGTCACCATAGTTTTTACGCATGATGACGGAACAGCTCGGGTATACAGTTTCACCGTAAGAGAAGTCGACATTTATTATCATCGACTATGGTTCCAGCCGGATTCAAGTGTAGATACGACTTCGGGGACAGATACTGACTCGGAGTCAGATGAAGAAGAGGCCGGAGCACAGTAGACTAGAAGAACTACATATAGGCCGGACTTCCCGAAAATCACCAAATGAATTTTATAAGTAGAAGATAAAACTTGTTGAACCAACCTGCACTAGTAGCCCGGTGGCAGTTAAAGACAATAGAACCAGTTAACAAAGTAAATAAAGAATATCATTTTTAATTGTGTGACATTTTTGAAGTATCATATTAAAGAAGTTTAAAGAAGAGCATAGTTGTTTCCAGACACTTTATTATTCAAGCAAAGGCACGTGAGAAGCATGCAACGAGTGCTAAGTGTGCATCATCATCACCACTAACGACACGACCATCTTTCTCCTCGTCTATAAACAATCGCCCGCCACCCTTGTGACAAACATAACGAACCTGGGACAATTTCAGAGACGACTGTGTCACAGAATACCCCGTGGTACTCAAATAGTGGCAAAGCACCAGGTGCCATGGGAGGCTTGCATCGCTCGGGTTTTGCGAGACTGACTCGTTATTCAAAATTCTTTTTCGCCAGAATGGGACTCCGGATCCCACACAGAGCTAATTGTTTCGGTAATAATTCACGCACAAGAAATAGTAAAATCTCACATCTCTGTTTAGAACCCATTAGTATCAGTAAACAGGTAATTATAGTACTCATATGCTTTGCCAGCTGGAGCAGCTAATTCTGATTTTGCACATGCTGCCATCTCCATCAGCATGTTCTAGATTTAGGCGACTACGTCTTTTCAGCAGTTATTTTCTTCTGATGCTCAATTGAAGGACTTTGGCGTTTGTGAGATAGTGAATTCGTTTTCAAAATCCCGACATATAGTTTGAAATATTCGTACTTTCTTTTCTTCTGTTTGCTTTGATTAGATTATATCCGCAATGTTGTCTCTAATATGAACTTCGCTGTCTTCTGTAATATTAGTACTGATCGACCATGTCTAGTTTCAAAATGTTTGTTTCATGCTTCATGTAAGGACAGCAACTTACCTCATCATTCGGTTTGAGTTGTGTCATGCTTCATGTAAGGACAGCAACTTACCTAATCATTAGGTTTGAGTTGTGTCATGCTTTGTGTAAGGACAGCAACTTACCTCATCATTCGGTTTGAGTTCATGTACGGACAACAACTGACCTTATCATTCGGTTTGAGTTGTGTCATGCTTCATGTAAGGACAGCAACTTACCTAATCATTAGGTTTGAGTTGTGTCATGCTTTGTGTAAGGACAGCAACTTACCTCATCATTCGGTTTGAGTTCATGTAAGGGCAACAACTGACCTTATCATTCGGTTTGAGTTATGTCATGCTTCATGTAAGGACAGCACCTTATCTAATCATTAGGTTAGAGTTGTGTCATGCTTTGTGTAAGGACAGCAACTTACCTCATCATTCGGTTTGAGTTCATGTAAGGGCAACAACTGACCTCATCATTCGGTTTGAGTTGTGTCATGCTTCATGTAAGGACAGCACCTTATCTAATCATTAGGTTAGAGTTGTGTCATGCTTTGTGTAAGGACAGCAACTTACCTCATCATTCGGTTTGAGTTCATGTAAGGACAACAACTGACCTCATCATTCGGTTTGAGTTGTGTCATGCTTCATGTAAGGACAGCACCTTAATCTAATCATTAGGTTAGAGTTGTGTCATGCTTTGTGTAAGGACAGCAACTTACCTCATCATTCGGTTTGAGTTCATGTAAGGACAACAACTGACCTCATCATTCGGTTTGAGTTGTGTCATGCTTCATGTAAGGACAGCACCTTATCTAATCATTAGGTTAGAGTTGTGTCATGCTTTGTGTAAGGACAGCAACTTACCTCATCATTCGGTTTGAGTTCATGTAAGGGCAACAACTGACCTTATCATTCGGTTTGAGTTATGTGTCCTGATCAACAATCTACAATTTAAACACGGTTTTGAGAGCTTTATTCTATATGAAAAGACAACAACTCACCTTATCTTCTGGTTCGTATTCTCGATATTGGTCAGTCAACTTCAGTTTGAACATAATAATGTCATCATTCACTTCATAGGCAGCGTCTCCAGCCATCACAGGACCGTTTTGTTTCTTTCCTGAGTCGTAATTTCTCCATGGCTCTTCGTCGCTGGATCCTTGCTCTTCGGTTATCGGAGTTCTCGCCTTGGCATCAATGGGAATACCTGCAATGTATTTTGTTCTTCTGTTTCTGTCTCCTCTCTTAGAAAATCGAATAACGATAAGGAAAACTACAATGGCAATGAAAATTGTGATGCCCACTAGGATTGCCACAATGATGATGTGTTCATTGGAACCTAGTGTGCTAGCAGCCACTGTCCCGTTACCCTGGGCAATGACAACAACCAGAGTACCAGTAGTAGACAGCGGAGGGGCGCCGTTGTCCCTCACAAACAGGGACATGGTGTAGGTTCCTTTGTCGTTAGTGTAGAGGGTTCTAACAGTGTACACGCGTCCTGTTTTAGGTTCTATTTCAAACACATCTCTAGCACCGTCCACAATAGTATATGTTAAGGTGGCATTCTCCCCAATATCCTGGTCACTGGCCGACACTGTGGTCACAGTGCTGTTGTACCTGGACTCTAAAGTCGTGTGGACTGTTTTGTTGTTGGAGTTAGGAAACTCAAACACCGGCGAGTGGTCATTGACATCAGAGATCAGGATTCTTACATGAAGATCGTTGGTTTGAGGGTTGGTTCCATGATCCCAAGCTAGGATGTCTATGTCGTAAACCGACTTCTTCTCCCGGTCAAACGTCTTCAGAGTTCTGATCTCCCCATTTTGGCTTAAGTTGAAAAACTTTGTCGCGTCATTATCAGAGCGAAGTTGATATCCAATTTTTCCACCAGGCCCTTCGTCCGGGTCGATGGCTTTAATGCGTCCAATGTAGGTACCAGGGGGTTTGTTTTCTGGGACAGTCAAAGAATATCCGTTTGGGACACGTGGCATATTGTCGTTTTGATCAATGACGTCTATTATAACCCTAGCTGTAGACGAAAGACTTGGAGTTCCTGCATCTGTAGCCACTACTTGAAAGTCCAGCTGTTTGAACAGCTCATGGTCCAGCATCTGCTTGGTGTTTATCTCCCCTGTATTTGGATTGATGTGAATGTGAGAAGCCACAAGAGGCGTGACGTCGCCGAGTCTGTAATTGACACTGCCATTTTGACCCAAATCCATGTCCTCGGCTTCAACTTTTAGGATAAAACTGTTGATATTTTCACTAATGTTCACCCGATAGATAGGCCGGAGGAATTTCGGAGGATTGTCGTTGGCGTCTTCAAGGATGACAGTGAAGGCAACCGTTGATGTTAATGAGGGAGTGCCCCCATCTACGCATTTTACAATCACTTCGTAACGTGGGACTCTTTCTCTGTCCAAGTTATTGTACACTGTTACTTTATATTCAGACTCCTTCAGCCGCTGAAGACCAAACGTGTCATCTCTGAGATGGCAACTGACTGCACCATTCTCACCAGAGTCAGCATCTTGTACCAGGAAATGACCAACCACAAATCCAGGAGAGGCGCTCTCGCTGATCCGGGAAACTGGAGACCCTGGCGGAATAGTCATGCGAATTATGGGTGCGTTGTTGACTGTGTCTAAAACGTGGATGTTGACAACGGCCTGGGCAGTCTGAGACTTGACACCTTGATCCACAGCCTCGACCACAAGCCGCAAAGTCTGGCCTTGTAGTGGGGTTAGATCTCGAAGAGTTAAAATGTCGCCTGTGTTGGCCACCACGCGGAATGTGTTGAAAGCTTCCTCAGATTGTCTCGCTCCAAGTCTGAATCTGAAAATATAGAAAGTGTTAGGGTTATTTTCTTTAACTGTGGGGAGTTGATAAGGAAATGAAAGAGCGGAGTTTCTGGATACAAAAGCGATCGCTGCAGAAACACGCATTTGGAAAAAAAATGAGACATCCTGAAGACCATTTATGAACGAGTGCTAATATAAGACACAGGGCTATATAAAATAATATGTGTAAAAATGTGTGAACGAGCAATAAGGTGTGGATCAGGCAAGGGTGTATGAGAGAAAGAAAACGACCAGTTTATAATCAAATTGTCATGGTACATTAGCAATTCCAGCTTTAGACATTTGCTGCGGGAGATGGAGCACCTATGGATATACCCGGTGTGGTATGATGTTGATTCTTAAATCAGTAGGCAGTAAGTAAAGTACTCTTCCATGCCACTCGCGCCTGGTGCTAGGCGTGGTGTTAGATATTTTATAGACAAATCGGTACTTGAAGACTGTAATGGCCACCATGACGCCAGCCGCGTTTACTTCCCAGGTCATTTCCTGATAGTCATTTCAGGTTGGATAAGTTAGGTGCCAAGGTCACTAATAAAGTACCAATATGTAGTCGATTACTAATGGGAAAACATAAAAATGGTGGCCTTTAGTTCCCAGCACATTTCCTGATGCTCGATTTAGGCTGTCTGGATGCGGCACCCAACCTAAGGCCTTCAGGTCAACAAGCTACCATATCGCTACTGCGATTCCCAACAACAACACCCTAAACAATATCGACGGTGGGGCGACAAGATGTCGTGACTAGAAGCTTCCACAAACTCTATTACAGCATTATCAAGAGGGATTACCTAGAGTGATCCCTAAACGATCTGCTAGACTAAAGTTTTTCACGTTCAGATGTAATGGGTAAAATCAATCCCTAGAGATCGCGCTTATGGTCTGAATGTTAGCCTGCGGACAGTCGTCTTCCGTTCACATTTGTGACTATGTGTGGGAGTAGAATTCTGATGTTAGGGTAGTGGTATCCGTAGTGGCCGACTCATTGCAGGCACGTAAGAATAATTATGAGTTCAAGACCACGTCTGCGACTTCTACTTGTTCACGTTAACAGTCTGTAAACTCCGGCGCCCAGTTCGGGTTGTCCCTGCACTTCTCGACTTTGGTCTTCTTCCGGAGATCTAGTTTTGTGTGCTCATGTTTATCACGTCTAGCATTTTTACAAGCACACTGCTGCCCCCCCCCCCCCGCCCCGGGCCTCTACTTCATTCATTGAAAACACCCCTGATTATTCGATGTATCCAGTATGCTTATGGGAGCGGGAGGGGGAGGGGAGACAGTAGGTCTGATTTCCCACGAAAACAGGGACATTGGAACCCACACATACGGGGACCATAAAGCTTTCAAACTAGCGGAGACTTGATGGAAAGAAGAAAGGGACTTCGTACTTTGTTTTTATTATTCATTTCTAAAAATAAAGAGAAACACAATGCACAGAGGATATGAGTTTTCCCCCACACTGTGACATTGCAACGAACACAAGGATTGTTTTTGCCGAATTATAAGTAAAAAAATTTTAAAACTTTTTATTCAACAAAACGATAAGAAAATGTTTGTATTTATGAGCGTTTTGCACATTTACCGTTCAAAAATCGAATTATTATGATACTGCATTTAGTTAATTATGTATTAAGAAACTAACACGTTCTGTCCAAAACGTATCTTCATACTTTATGTTTCTTTTTTTTTAAACAATTTAATCTCCTCCTATTTTAGATCTTATTTTTTATGTTGAAACTAGGGATGGTTGGGGGGGGGGGGGGGGGTTGTCTTGCCATATGGTTAAGAAAAGAGGGGGTTGTGGTGGTCTTGTCGTACACTCGAGGGGGTAGTGGGTGCCTTGCCACAAACACAAAGGTAGCGCCACCTAAAAAAAAACAAGGTTAGAGACTAGTGTAACAATAATAATAATCATAAAACAGGACGCTCAGGGGTTTATGCTTTATTTAACTGCAAAATATTAAAACAAATAATAATAACGTGCTAAATGTCAAAAACGAAAAAAAAAATATTTAATATAATATGAAATGTATAAACATTTGTTTAAAAAAAAGTACATTCACTGTTGGTGGGGTATGTAGGTAGATGTTTTGCTAGGAAAAAAATATCACTAAGTTCAACCAGCATCCTCGAAGGGGGAGCTTTAGGTTAGAATTGTGACTAGGTTATGTACACAATATAAAAGTGCTTAGCGTTGTAAGTCATATAAAAGTGACTAGCGTTGTACGTCACCAAGAGCCTTGAAAAGGACTCCTGCGGTGTTACTGCGATCAAAGGAGACACAAACACTGTCCCGACCTGCGACGAAGTCGACTACCGGCGAGCCAACAGGCGACCCTGTCGCCGTTAGTGGTGGTAGAGGGACTGTGTCAGGCTAGACTAGGAGGAAAAGAGTACTGAGTCCCTGTGAAATGTTGCAGATGGAGTTGGAAGGGGTAGGGGTGGGTGGGTGCCGTTAACGTGCATGAATCCCTGGGTAGCAGACGTGACTGCAAAGAATGCTTGTGAAGAAATTGTCTTGTCTTTGTGTAACGTTAGTTCCGTATCCTTTACAGGACGTTGCACAATTAACCCTAGCATTCTTTAGGCTGTTGTAGATTTTCTAGGCAGATTTTACGTTCAGTACTTTGCCACTGTCGGCTCTGTGGCTAAGTCGATGCGAACGCTTCGTAATGCCTTGATGCCGGGTTCGATCCCAGCTGCGGGCCATGCTCCTTGCGTTGGTTTCGACAGTGGTATCAAGAAAGCTGACCGTCCAGAAGCAATGGCAAACTACTGGACGTAAATTTGTTTAGAAAAACCACACAACAGCCAGGGACTGTTGGGGTTGGTTCTGCAACGTCCTGTAAAGGATATGCAACTAACCTAACTTTGCCATTGCTTCCTGAAAGGTCATCTGTCGGTACCACTGTTGAAACCATCGCAAGACAAATCGTTCGCAGCTGGGATCGAACCCAGCATTCCGGCATTACGAAGCGTTTCGCAACGCCTAAGCCACAGACGCAGACGACTTTGTATAATGACATAGATACAAACAGGTTAGTCGACAGTTCAGTTCTATTGCACATCTAAGCAACGGCCCAACAAGGGCTCAGATGCAAGCCTTAGTAAATGTCGCAGCGAGAAACTTCTGACGATATGAGATGCAATAGCCACGCAAAGGTTACAGGATATTAAACATAATAAACAGAAGAAAAAAAATTAAAGAAAAAAGATTAAATGAACATTATCGATCTTCTGCCTTTCTATCCCCTAATGGAGCATAGGCCCTCAACCAACTCATGCAAAGTCGTTCTATTCTTCGCCATTACATGGAGCTCACCCATGTCCTCCCCATCTTTCTAACTTCATTCTCCAGCTCTCTTCTCCATTTGTTTTTTGGCTTTCCTTTATTATTATTCCCCTGTGGATTCCAGTGCAAAGACATTCCAGTTATTTTGTTCTCTTTTCTCACTGTGTGTCCTATCCAACGCCAGCGTCTTGTCCTCACCAAATGAACATTATAAAAACATGCATCTCTCTTGTGGACTGCTTGAAAATGGGCAATAGATGTCTTTCGATCAGGGTTTTGAGTTCCTGGACGGTTGGCAGATGATCATACTACTGGGAGAATGGAGTCAGGTCACTGACAAAAAGACAAAAATAGCTATTTTTTCCAGTACGCTAAGAGAAGACATGATTTCACAATGAAAAATGACCGCCTACATATTTGGACAGAACACATGATGATGATGGTGATGATGATGATGATGATGATGACGATGACTGAAACAGGTTGATGTCGTGTTAGTTTTGCCGTTCTGGTAGCGTACTGACTAGACGCTTGCCCGCACATCTAAAGTCTTCAAACAGGTATGAAAGTAAATAATTTATGTATGGCTTCGTTATTGATCTTGTTAGAAAAGGGTATCAGGAAATATGCTGAGAAAAAATCTATTTAATCCATCAAAAAATCAGAAAAACATATAGACCCACCACAGTATCTCAGATGTTTATATCTTGTTGAAAAGTTCTTCTGGAATTTGTTCATAGGAAAGCCATCCGATCATAGAATTTTTTTTTTTTAATTGGCGGGAACTGTTACATCGTCCGTGTAATCACAGCGTCGAAGAGACCTGACGTTTGCGTGTCCTAATGCGTTAGCCCCTGATGAGGCCAAGGTTTAATGTCTACAAAAACGCTCTATCTAATTTTCTCATGAAAATTAAGGTCAACGTGTAAGGGTCATTTTGATCCAACCAGGGGGAAATTATTGCTGGATACCACGAGTGGGCAATTTTAGGCTCGTCCTGTAGTAAATGCACTGCTGGCTGCGTGGATCGTTTTTATGGTGTGGGGCTTCGCAGGTTGATCCAGTCTAAAATGAGTACCAGGATGTGTGTCCTGGGGAAGGAAAGACGGCCGGCGTAATGCTGACCACATTACCCGCCTAGTGCTGATTAGTCTGTGAAAAATATGGGTGCTCTTCTCAAATGCACGATGAGCCTAAGGAGTGAAAAGGGATCTTTACTTGTCTGTGATAAATGCTAAATATAAAACAAAATAAAACTAGAAAGCTCAACGAAAGGAATGGAAGAGACGCAAACAAACACAACCCAACGTTTCTACCGAATTCTTTATAAATGGATTACTTTACACAACACACAGTGTGTGCGTCTTTTTTTCATCCCTTCGTTGTGCTTTCCTGTGTGCGTCTTTTCCATTCCATCCGTTAAGCTTTCTAGTTATATTTTGTGTTATATTTAGCACTTGTTGCAATCGTCTCGACTGCAGTCACCACCTATTTACGTCGTCTTGTGGTAAGTCGTTGAAACTGTAGTGTCAGATGTGTTTGAAAATAAAGGACCCTTTTTGTGCTATCAGCACATAGTATTTTTTTTTTTGTTTTTTTTTGTTAGCTAAATCCTTTCTTATAGGTCAGTCGCAACAGGAGAGATGACAGAACAATATTACTTCGCATTTTATCATATCGGATGTTTTTGGTGTACCGCATGTGTTGCCAACTGGTGTAGCGCATTTTAACACGATAACCACACTACTTGATTTTCCCTTTCTTGATGTTGTCAGTGACGTTGTCAATAATCATCTTTGATTGAGTTTCGAGTCAGATTATCTTCACAGGACTCCGGACACAACCATAGGCGCTCACACTCCCCTCTCAACATATTCATCGGCGTCACGCGTTTAATAGTGCCAGTCTTATGTTGGTTAACAAGACTTCGTGTGCGTCCGGTGTGCTTCTAATGCTTGGCTGTGCCGATCATTACTCCCAAATTTGGTTATCTTAGCAGTGATGTGAACATGTTGCTTACAAAATCCTAAGAACGTATACCTCTCTTAGGACAATGACAATGTCTGCGTGATCCTTAGACCGACCATCTGCAATTAATGCAGTTGATTATTTTCGTCGACGTCTTTTTAACATCAATTTATCCAGGTGCACCAGATAATTCAGGTCAGGATAATTCCCGTTCAATACACAGACGATAACCGCCTGTTTCTTATTTTCGTGTTGTGCTGTCTTAAACACACTTAGATTACTCCATCTGGCTCCCAATCTGGCTCTATAAGAAATTTCAAGGACACTTCTTTACCCAAAATAGACTGGGTTTCCTAGCAAATGGGGTTGGACGTCGCTTACTGCAGCACAGCCTGGCGTGTGATATCACAACGTCTAGTTTGGGAATGGAGGTGGAGGGAGTCACTGCTGCCTTTCGCTGGATTGAGAATAAGCTGTACACAAATGTAATTGTAACTGACTCACGGAGTATGTTGAGAAAGGTAGAGACAGGCATGCTCTGTGAATAGTTGTAAGCATTACTTCAGAGATATCGGGTAGTTAGCGTCAATTGGTCAAGCTAGTGTGTTTGAAAACAAGCATAAAGATCGTTTCTGCGCCATTTGGTGGATAGATCATTACGGTTTGAGGAGGATGGTGCTGCTAGGAGTTACTAGGGGATCTGCCTGACGCTCAACACTCAGGGGAAAGGCGAGATGGATGTATAGTCAGACAGTTACTAGTACAATCAAAACTGAAACTCTTCGTTTGCTGCTGAAGATGGAAACGAAGCTCTTATGGGAGTGTCCCGAGTCTAAGATGTCGATTCCTAATTCGACATTCAACAACAAGACTGCAGGGTACGCCGGGGTGGTGTACCCTATGGATTACTTTTACATTTTGTTCAAGTTCAAAATAAAGGCGAGTAAGAGTTGGCTGAAATGAAGAGACCACAGAAGCTTTTGTGAGAACCGACAATGTAAGGGACTGTACATTAACAAGTTTTTTTAAGTTTTAAAAGAAGTCACGTTTTTTTTTAATTGTAGCGTTATTTTAGTTTTAACACATAGTATTGACATTTGGAGAACCATTTAAGACATGTAACAACATATACACTCATTCAAATAAAAAAAAAAAGTTTTAACAAAATCGTTTGTCAACAGTTATAACAGAAAGGAGACGGCGATATACTAAGGGAATTTTTTTGTCGACGAGGACACAGTAGCAGAGAGTGAATTTAGAAATGCATGTATGAGAAAGAAAGGACTCCACAAGAATGTCTGCTACAAACGCACATGAAAACAAATTAAATGAGTCAGACTAGATGCCACGTGCTGTTGAAAGAATTTAGCTGGATACAGTATGATGAGAAAATTGACTGTAACTCACGTGTGATGCATTCATTATCATAAAATGCCTTGCCCAGATGGCGTATACATTCATGCATGTCTACATATCTCGGTGTGTGGTGTTCTGGATCAATTCCACATATGATTTTGCTTCATGCTACTGTTTTAAGCCACCCACCATAATTTATCTTGGTCTGTCTCTGCATCTTCCACCGGTGATCTGTCCAGATCTTTCAACCACGGTTCCCCCGAAAATTTTATAAATACATTACTAAACTACCCAAGCCAACCTAATGAAAACACAGGCAAACTGGAAGTTAAGATAATGTGTAAACAAAGAAAATGATAAAGAGGATTTACTTACGTGACCCGGCCATTATTGCCCATGTCCTCATCAACTGCAGACAAGCTTGTCACCTTATGTCCAATAGGAGCCGTCTCCGCCACAGACTCGTCATAAATCTGCTTCGAGAATCTCGGGGCGTTATCGTTGACATCGTTCAGTGTGACGTTGACCGTGAGCTCTCCGGATCTCCTGGGTGTCCCGCCGTCCAGGGCCAGCACTTTGAGGAAGTAGTGAGGCTGTCTCTCACGGTCCATGGCAGACTTCACGTAAAGCTGAGGCGTCAAGCTGTCGTCAAGGTTACGGGTGACCTTTAGCCCGAAGATATCGCTGTTGGTGGACAAGGTGTACCTCTGAATGGTGTTGTTAAGAATATCACGATCCGTGGCCGACATGATGGGGATTGAGGTGGACAAGGCCGCATCCTCGTCAATCTTCACGTTCATTGTGGAGATGCTGAACGTTGGTGAGTGATCATTGATGTCTTTGACAAACACTGTAATCTTGAAGGTATAAAACTGCTGACCGGAGTCTGTCTGTGCTGCTACATGAATACTTAACTTACAGACTATCTCGTAAAAACAAAGAGTCTCGCGATCAATCAACGAAGCCGTCTTTAAAACCCCTGTTGTGTTGTCGATTGTAAAGAAATTATTGTGCGTTTCCGGGTAGAGGAGTACCCGATATTTTAGGGTGGCGAAGTCCTCGTGACTGAGCAGTTGGTGTATGTTTGAATCTCTGCCCACACTGCCAACTACTGTATTGATGGGGACTTCTTCATCGATGCTGTATGACAGGTCAAACGACTGGCCACGCGCTTGTAGAATCCATGGAGAACAGTAAACAAGTAAAAGAAGAAGCGTATAGGTTGATGAGATTGAAGGATTCATTTTGTAATAGAAAAGTCACTTCTTGTAGCGTGTCTAAATTCTAATGTATTAGAAACATTTCTAATCATACAAGAACAACTACGTGGTGTATCATAAATACTACTTGTTATATCAGACAACCAAATACTCTTTCCCCCGGGTTGTATTGTTCAGTACTGCTGGTGTTTTGACATACTTGTTTTCTGCTCTTTGATGTGTGTGTTCGTGTTTGATAAAAATTTTAAGCAGCTGCGAAGAAACGAAGCAGTTGTAATGATTGCAGCAAAGATAGGATATGGTCTGTTGCAGCAAAGAGTTGATACTTGAGATGGACACAGTAGTATCACCTTGTATTCTGACTTATTATCTGAGGTAAATGTAGGACCCAGTTGTTCTCCAGTCTGTTTGAATCATCCAGGGGATAGCTTGTAGACCTGTGGATGTAAAATAAATATACTGCATTCCATGATAGTTACATAACATTAAAGCGAAGTGAATGCCGTTTTTAAACTCATATTCAACATGGCACAGCCGGAAGCCAGATTTCTTTAACAGGTTCTGACCAAATGTAGAAAATAAAAGAGCACATTATGCTGTGAAGTGAAATCAAGGGGTAAAATCATTTACACGCCAGGCGTTGCTTGAGACCGAAAGCGTTAAACAACAATGGTGCACTGGTTATAAGCCATATTTATATACCATTTGCACTCTGTGAGCTGTCGATATCATAGTAATTATCTTTACTTCCAATGACCATTTCCTCACACCTGTTTGAGGCTAGGTCAGCCTGGGTGCCCTCATTCAGTTTTGGGCCTACACATCAGGGGCTAGCTACTGTGTTACCGCAGGTTCGCGTGCACACGAAGCCATATAATACTAGACCCATACTTTTGGAGACCAATCAATTCTCGGCAGGTGATGTGATCATCACTTCGGCCTCTTATACTTTCCATGACATTACCTATTATTCACGTTAGGCTGGGTAGACCTGGAAAGCATGACCTGTTTAGACAAAAAAGCCATGTCGATGTAGATTCGAATCGTACGATCTTCTGGGCAGCCAACGAGCATTTAGTCATTACACTGCAACAGCTCCCGTCGGTGACATTACAGACAGACAATCAAATAAAACATGTCTTCACGTTTGATGCTGTAATCAAAACCAGACTTATTTGCTTTCACGTCACGGAAGATCGAATACAAGTAGATCAGTCTCATCTCAGTGTAGATTTATCTGTACTGAAAACATTTGCCTGCGCACTAAACGGTCTCGGTTTCGATACCAAATCGGGAAGGATATTTTTAAAGAACTCTATGCTGTTAGGTTACTGTAGCCTAAAGAGGGTACAAGGAAATGTTTAGGAAATAAAGGTACCGGCCCGATAGCTCCATAGCATAAAAGAAAATAGTTTAAAAAATATTATAATAATAATACCGGAGTCATGAACAAGTTTTGACAGGACACGAACCATAAGCGACCTTAGAAAGTTCATAACATACAGTAAATTAAATAAATAAAAACAAACACTAATTTGAAAACATCTTTAAAAACAATAGCGTAGGATAAACAAAGAGACACATTATGCCTTTATGTCTCTTAAACATTAATAAAAAACACAAATCATGGATCCAGACAACGACCAGACAGCCAAATATTCTTAAACTCCATGCCGTGTGGTGTTGGTAGTCATGTCTATCCACAACCTTTTGTATTCTCTCTTCTTCTCAAAGTTCAAGCCTTGTGGTGTTTTTAGTGATGTCTATCTACAACCTTCTGTCTCGTGTTCTTTCGGTCAATTCTGACACAGATAATCATCCATGCCAAGATGAGAACCTGTCCGGCATGTTTTCTTTCGGGCTCTCTCTATCTCTCTCTCTCTCTCTCTCTCTCTCTCTCTCTCTCTCTCTCTCTCTCTCTCTCTCTCTCTCTCTGCCTCTCACCCCACCCCACCCGCAAACTTTCCCACAGTCATGATATACTCCCATTTTCCCCTTCTCATCACATGAACAACGAATGTAGACTGTCTCTTTATGACGTGGGCAATCAGTTCTCGTGGTGAGTCAGTTTCTTTCAAGACATCTTCGTGAATCTTTTTATTTTCTAGAGTAGTCTCACCAGTCGTCTATAAAAACACACCGCCGCAGCTTCCAAAAAAGTTTTCACCTATTTACCAATCGTCCATGATTTACTTCCGTACATCAAGACAGGATTTATATAGCTTTAAAGAATTCTCTTTCTCGACCTAATTGACAAGGAAAGATCGTATACAATATTCTTCATTTTGTAAAAAAGAGAGACTAATAACAGTATATATTTAGTAAAATATTCTCCAGGTAAAAATAAAATAAATAGTACTGATCGTTTGATGACAGAACATGTACTGGGTCCCTGCTAATTTGCAAAGGAAGAAAGGTAAAGTCATACTTAAATTGACATTAACTGGTTTCATTTGTCATGTACCAAGGCAACCTGTACAGGAAACGAAACTAGGTAGAAAAAGTATGATGCTGATTCAGAAAGTAATGATTGCGAAACTCTAGAAATGCAAAATATCTTTGAGTATCTATACAAGCTGACGCTCTCAAATTATTGGTAAGGTATTAAACAATTATGATTGCAAAAAGCTGCGAATATTTCGAAATGGATGGTATAGTTCAAGGTGAGTTAAAGTGAGGTCCGGGAAGAGTCATTTATCTTTCAATGCATTTATCTTCCCATTTTAATACTGTAGTAGTACTTGCTTGTCACGTGGGCGAAAGATGGGAGGATTTCATCTATGGTAAGTGAAGTGGAAGATGGAAGGGGCGGGGGTGGGGGGGGTGGGGGGGGGGGGGAGTTTGTACATAAATGTACAAAGGCTTGCAAATGTAAGAGAAAGAGGCTGATGAAAGCACTAAGTCATTACAAATGCTAAGTGTAAGTGTTTGCAAGGTCCACGCTCACATTATATATAAATATATTTATATATATGATTCGAGTTGAAGAACCGACTTAATAGCACTCGGGGCATTCCCATAAGCCATCCATTCCCATCTTTAGCAGCCAGCGCAGAATTCCAATACTAGTGTCTTTTCTCTGAGCGTCGTATATCAGCCATATCCCCTCTTCACCCCTGCCTGGATCACTCTCACAAGCCTATGGTGATCCATTTGCTCCTCTGAATTGTACACGTTTTCCGGTACTTCTAGCCACGACTGCCTTACCATGCATCAGTACTTCACCAAGGTGAGCAGAGCCAACCATTCTGTACACACACTCACACACACACACACACACACACACACACACAAACACCATACACAAACACACTCACACATTATTTATATACATATATATTTAATACCAAACACTGTTCTCTACAAATTTTTAGGCTTCAAATACTGTTCGCTCTATTGGCGCCAGATTATGGGGACTGAGACACCTTGAGCGTGCCCCCCCCCCCCCCCTTTTTCCCCAAATCGTTTCGAGAAGGGAAGTCATCTCACCACTAGACAGCTGACAGATTTTTCAGTCATTGTATTACAGATGTCATCATTTTATGTATAGATGCTTTGTCCATGCTTTGGTCAAGTACACTTGTTTCCATAGAGAGGAGCACACACCATTTGGAGGTGGCAGGTTCGATTCCTGGCAAGGTAACTACAGCTTTCTATTTTTAAGTGGTCTAATATGTCCTACTAACTTTCTACTTTTTTTATGAGTACCTTTTAATACATTGTTTGCCTGTTTATGTATATATGTATATATATATATATATATATATATATATATATATATATATATATATATATATATATATATATATATGTCTATGCAAGTAGGTTAATGAATTTATATAATCATAAACACTAAACATTTGATCTACTCTTGCAATCCATGACAGGTCAAGAAAAAAAAAAAAAGACACTATTTAATTGAAAAAAAAAGTTGCGTATCCTGTACAGGAGGTTGCAGAACCAACCCCAACATCCCCTGGCTGTTGTGTGGTTTTTCTAGGTAAATTTACGTCCAGCAATTTGCCATTCTCTGGACGGTGGGCTTTCTTGATACCACTATCGAAACAAACGCAAGGCGCATGGCCCGCAGCTGGGATCGAACCCGGCATCCCAGCATTACGAAGCGTTCGCATCGACTTAGCCACAGAGTCGACTCATTATTTAATCAAGATGTAAAAATTAACCTAAGCATTTTTCTGTTCTATCTTTTCCACTGCATGTGTATGAAAACTGGACACATCTCTCAGAATTGGTGCGAAAGTCCCATGTAGTTCAACTAGAAACACAACAGATACATAAGCACTCCTATATACAAATAAAAAGAATTTTAGTCTCTGGCACCAAATTCATTGAAGAGCAGGGTACATCAGACTGGTATTTTATTTATTCGTTACGGCTGCCCTGTAAAGTTGACGGTATCTTCAATTCATCCTCAACATCATCTCGTAACACTAAGTGTCGTTGGGTCACCAGTTTCTGTTGACTGTCTGGTCAGCCCTCTCTACCTTTGGCAGTCAGTGGAGATGGACTTCATGGTTTCATGCCTAGAGGCCTTTCCAGTCAGTCAGGTTCTGTAACAAGGTCTTACTTGGTCTGCCTCTTCTCCTCTTTCCCTCTACTGAGCCCTACAGTATTGTTTTTGAGAGGATGTTAGATCTTATAACTTGTCCATACCATTGCATTTTTTGCCTTTTCACCGTAGTTAAAAAGAGGTTCATAGTTGCCAATGTGCTGCATCATTTTATGGCGAAGCTCTTCATTGTAATATGGTCTCTGTAAGATATGGCAAGACATTTTCTGAAACATCGCATTTCTAATGCTTGTATCTTTCTTTCAAGTTCAGCTTTCAAGGTCCACGTTTCATAGCTATATGTAAATGTACCAACAGCTAGTGCTCTGAGTAATCGAATCCTAGTTTTGCATGAAATGTTTTTTGATCACTCTAACTTTAATTGTCCCTTTAAAATTGCGTCTGTATTGTGTCGAAGGGGTAGTGAGCCTTTGTGTAGCAGCCTGGAGTGAAA